CCCGGTTGGCCCGGGCCTGAGCGGCCCGGGCTCGGAGCCGGCCCGGTTTTTTTGGTTTTTTTTTTAATTTTTTAAAAATTTTAAAAATCCCCATAAATCATAAAATATACATAAAAATTACAGAAGATGACATAAATTTTTTTAATAATTTGAAATGACATAAATTACAAGTATAAAAAATTATAAAAATGAAAGATGATAAAAATATCTTCTTTATTAATAATCAGTAAATCATTTACAAGTATAAATTTATTTCGGAATTCGTCGCATCATAATAGATGAGTACATCCCAACTAGGTTGACACCTACTCACTTATATCACTATCATTTGCAACATTTTCCGAAATAATTCATTACAAATTTAAACCTAAGAAATAAAAATTATAATTTGATGAATATTATCTAATCTTTATACCTATCTGCTAGTTCTAACTCTTTAAATTTATCTTCAATTCTAGCCATCCGATCGATGTCTTGCGTTCGTTTCTCGTACATCCACCAATCTTGTAAGCACATCACCGTTTGTATAGTATACGGATCTAAGCATGTCCTGTGATCGTCGATCAAACGTCCTGCTGTGCTGAAAGTGGATTCCGAAGCTACCGTCGAAACCTGCACTGTTAGTAAGTCACGAACCATGGTGAAAAGTATAGGATATGAAACTGATCCATATACACACCACCATTGTAAAATATCTAAAGCATTTCCTTAACATTTAACTAAAGAAGCAGATAAATATTCATCTATTTCAGAAACCTCTAATGCAGATCCAAGTCCAGGTCCACCAGTTAGTTCAGCTACCATTGCATATCTATCAAAACTTACACTTTTACCTCGGCCTATGCTCGAAGGCGCTGAAGTTGTAGGCTGTTATGCAGCTACATCATGTCTAGTTGCATACTCATCATATAATGTTTGAAAATAATTTCTAATAACTAAATGATGAGAAGTAGCAGTAAGGGTGGATCCATCATCTAAGTCTATACTGTCCACCATACAATGATTGTAACAAACTTCGAAGGCCAATATCCTTCAAACATGGATCAATAAGAACACCCAAACCAAAAATATGAGGAATAAGCCTAAAATACTTATTAAATTTGCTATCCATTTGAAAAATTACAGCTCCAAAAGTATCATCTATACGATATTTGGCAAAAAAAATTAAATATTTAAAATTTGTAAAGCAACTAAAGTAATTGTTGGATAATAACAGCCATATAATAACATTGTAGCATCATAAAAAACTTGTAACATCTCATTTAAATTACATATAATTGTTCATTCATCTTCAGTTATTTCATAAGTAATACCAGAGCTAGAACTAGAAGCATAAAAATTTATAAAATTATTTATAATTATTTATATTCTATTGCTATACTTAACATTGCATAGGTAAAATTTTACCTATGGTCAACATCTTTTGGAATTAGTCTAGACTTATAATTTTTTTCTTTTATAATATTGTTTCCATCTTTTAATTCTCATTTCAGAATCATTATGCATATTAGCAACTGTTATAATATTTTCTATCATGTGTTTAATTTCAGAAAATACACTTTGAACAATTAAATTTAAAATATGACAGATACATCTAACATGAAAAAGTTCACCATAACATGGCAATGACAGAGTTGTTTTGAAAAAATCCACAGCTACGTTGTTATTACTTGCATTATATAGTGAAAGAGAAAATATTCTTTGATCAATTTCTTGTTTCATAAGTTCTTTAATTATTAAATTTGTAATATTAATACCAGTATGTGACTCTTCAATTGTAATAAAAGAAACAACTATTTTAAACATTTGTCAATTTTTATCAATCTAGTGTGTTGTGATACATAAATAACCAGTTTACAATCTAGATGTCCAAATATCAGAAGTTAAAGAAAATTTACAGTTTAAATTTTTAAAATAAGAAATTATTTTTCCTTTTCCCTCCTGATAATATTTTAAAATATCTCGTTGATAGGTTTGACGAGAAAATTTTGTAAATGCGGGATAAAAATCATCTCTAAACAAATCTTCAAATTTATCATCTTCTACTAATTTAAAAGAAAGGTTTTTAAGAATGATAAACCTGATTACGTATTTTCTGGCTCGGGCAGCGTCATAATTCTAACTACCGAGACTACCAGAAAAGGAGGATTGAGAAATCATAGATTGTCGGATATCACCTTGAGGATTCTGGCATTTGTTGTGTTTTTTTATAAAGCGTTTGAGGTGGGATGTGGCGCTTTTATGATGAGCTTGGAAATTCTGGCCGTACAACACACATTTAGCCTTCTAGGTGATGATCCTACCGTGTTCATCATTGATGACGTCTATCTTCTAAAAAAAATCACACATCGGATCTCGGCTTTTTATGAGCTCTTGGTGTAGATTCGTCGTCACCTGATTCAGGATTAATACCGGTAGGAGGAGTAGTTGTTGTAGGAGGACTCATTTCTGGATCAGTAGAAGATAGGTGTTGCTCTTCATAATCAGATCCAGAAGCCATTTGATAGAAATATTAGAAAATATAAGAGATTTTAAGAGAGTATAAGATTGTATAAGAGAGTATTAGAGAGAAGTAGATAAGTTTTGGTGTGAGGAGAAGAAGTGAAAACATCCCTCTATTTATAGAGGTAGCCTCCTAGGCAAATGACCAAAAAAAACTCTCATATTCTAGCTGTTTAAACCGTTTTTAGGGGCAAAACGGTCAAAACCCTATTTTTGACCGTTATGGCTAGCAGCCCGGCCCAGCCCGGTCAGTCAATTCTGCCCAACGGTCAACAGAGGTGACTGTCGGGCCGGGCCGGCATTTTCCAGCAACGGTCACCTCTGGTACCTCTGGTGACCGTTACGGTCGGGTTCGGGTTCAGGCCCGGACCGCCCGGCCCGGTTTTGGTGCCCCGGCCGGCACTGTTCCAGGTCGGGTCCGGACCGGTCACGTTTTCTCGAGTCCGGACTCGGGTCCGGGTGTCCGGGCAAAACCCGGGCCGCAGGCTTTTTGGACAGCCCTAGCTGGAGCTACATAATATCTAGCAGCCTCATAGGATACCGATGGATTTTCTATTTTATAGTTATTTTTATTTACTTTTACTTGTACTGCTTAGGACACTAGTTATAAAGATAGAACGAGACACCACCTATAAGATAATATAATTGTAAACTTATCAATACAAATGTCATATACAACTATGGCAGGTTATATGAGGACACCATTGAAACAAAATCCTGATTTCACTACTGCTCAAGGGTAGGGGTATTGCTGCTAGAAAGAAGTATCACTGAGGAAAGATAATGTCATTTTAAAATGGTAGTCATTTAGGATCCCCTAAATGCTCACATAGCATTTCCTTAGATTGGGTCGTGGATAAAATACAATCAAATGATGTTTGAAGTTAATATGACATAAATTCTCTCTTAGAGGACTAACTTGTCGCTTTATTTTATTATTATTTTTACACCCAGGTCTCTTAAAACACTTGTAATTCATTGATGTGCTGTGTGTGTGTGTGTGTTACCTTTTGTCACTACTGATCAATTATATGAAGTTCATCAAAGTCGCACGAGATACACGGAGTGCAACATTTTCATATTCATCTCTCATAAACATGATTACAAGTACCAGATTCATAACGATGTTAATTTTTTTACGGGCAAAATATGATGGCAAAGTTGAGTTCATGTAATACTTTTTATGCTGTAAATAGATTTTACAAAAGTTCGCTATTCATGAGTATATGCTTGTTTTTTTTTTCTTAATAAACTTTACCTAAAGAAGGATTTGATATTAACATCCGGTGGTGGGCCGGCTTCGATAAATGCTAACTTCGAGTTTAAATCAAACGCTGAAGAGTCACGGGGAAGTAAAGAACTTCGATATGACGAGAACTCCAAAAGCGTTTTAAATGAGAATTGAGGGATTTCCCCTGCGGATGACGAAGATTCTGGACTGTGAGATCCGCACTTTATGACGAAGATGAAAACTATAAGCAAATCA